TTCTGTCTTCTGGGTTGTTTCGCTATGCAGTCTGGTCGATGTTTACCAACGTTTCAGAGGTCATACTGTTTCCATCCTCAGAGTATGAAGATTTCTGTCTTCTGGGTTGTTTCGCTATGCAGTCTGGTCGATGTTTACCAACGTTTCAGAGGTCATACTGTTTCCATCCTCAGAGTATGAAGATTTCTGTCTTCTGGGTTGTTTCGCTATGCAGTCTGGTCGATGTTTACCAACGTTTCAGAGGTCATACTGTTTCCATCCTCAGAGTATGAAGATTTCTGTCTTCTGGGTTGTTTCGCTATGCAGTCTGGTCGATGTTTACCAACGTTTCAGAGGTCATACTGTTTCCATCCTCAGAGTATGAAGATTTCTGTCTTCTGGGTTGTTTCGCTATGCAGTCTGGTCGATGTTTACCAACGTTTCAGAGGTCATACTGTTTCCATCCTCAGAGTATGAAGATTTCTGTCTTCTGGGTTGTTTCGCTATGCAGTCTGGTCGATGTTTACCAACGTTTCAGAGGTCATACTGCCTCCGTCATCAGGGCGATGAATATATATAAACATCGACCATACTACACAGCACAACAACCCAGAAGACAGAAATCTTCATAGTCACCGCTGTGAAAACCAAAAATCTTACATGTCATTTTCTTTTTGTTTTGTCACATCCTCTGCGACAAACAATGCATTTAAGTCATGTTCTAAGTCAGTCCTGGTTCACTACGTAGAAAAAATTAATCCGTACTGATTCATACCTTGTGCCATACGGTTCATACCATACATTAGCTTCACCTGCAGTTGCTACTTCCAAATTTCTATTTTACTGCTCTCAGTTACTACCTTCAGAAAGTCGCATTTACATTCATCATTCTTTTCTGCATGTACAAATATAAACACATGAATTTAACTGCAAATTAATTATCAAGACCCCTGTGCTAAAGATTACCTGTAGAATGAGCTTTAGTTCCGAGATGCCACAGTTTCATATATTTTGCAACATCCGCCAGCTACTGGATGTGATATGACGACGACACAAAATCTAGATATGACTCACATCTTACAGAAGTTTTAAGAATGTAACTTTGGCATTTTGTTCCAAACCTGTAGCATGGTAAACTTTCCCTCAAGAAAACCGAGGACCAGCATAGTGTCGGCTACATCTCATAAGCAGATGGGATCTCATTTGCAAGAATTTTTTTGTTACTTCAAATGTGACTGTGAAGAGGAAGTATGTAGAATGAGAGATAGATCATGAGAACATATAGGGTCTATGTGACATGAAAACAGATACTAAGACAAGAAGAAAATAAAATTTAAATACAATATCTACACGCATAAGCATTCAAATGGTATCTGCTGCCAAATACTTAACATAATTCATGTTGTATTTATGCAGGAGTGAGAATTTTTGTCAAAAATAATCTGAAATTTAATCAGTTAAATGTAACGTGTCGCTGCAAAGAAGAAGACACAGAATGCTGTGTTATTCCACTGGCATCTAAACATTCAAACATGTTTGTCCTAGCTACACACAGAGCTACAAAAGGTGATTTTGAAATTTTTAAACCAAGTCAGAAAGCATTATAAATTATGAAGATATCTGTCTTCTGGGTTATTGCGCTGTGTAGTCTGGTCGATGTTAACCAACGTTTCAGAGGTCATACTGACTCCATCATCAGGGCGATGAATATATATAAACATCTACCATACTACACTGCACAATAACCCAGAAGACAGAAATCTTCATCGCCCTGATGACGGAGGCAGTATGACCTCTGAAACGTTGGTTAACATTGACCAGACTACACAGCGCAACAACCCAGAAGACAGAAATCTTCATACTCTGATGACGGAGGCAGTATG